CGGATCTTCACATCTCACTGAAATTCTGTCAAAAGATATGAACAAACATGGGAGGCTTCCTTAAAGGTTGGAAGCATGCTTAGAACTCGGTGGATCTCACGTGGCTTCTCGGTGAAGGCACAGAACAAAAGTTTCCGAGTGGGAGCCGGGCCTCCCTCCGACCAGCACAGCATGCTCCTGGTCTGCAAAATTAAGTCAGAATCAAAAACAAATTGTTGGAACAAAGTGACAAAATCTGTAAACATCAAGGCAGCATGGAACCTTGAGTTAGAACAACCTGAATTTGTTCAGCCCAAACCTGGCAGCCAAATTCAAGAAACCATTTTTTGTTACAAAACGAGTAGATGGAATTAAAGTGAGGGCTGCCATTTGAATGTAAAGGAAAGTCATTGGTAATGCATACTGTTTTATAGGGAAGACCGGTTTTTAAGTTCATTTAGATAAGATCACAATCACACAGACAGTAAACAGACTGGAAGTGCTTGTAAGTTGAGATAATTAATCGAAAAGCTAAATGAGTCACTTGAAAAGGAAATGTCATGGACGGCACCACAGGGATACATGTTAGCTTTGGTCTTATTTACACGGTTATTAGTTGGGCTGAGCAGACTGCTTCTGGAAACAGCGCTGAGGAGCTGAGCTGCTTCCTGTGAAAGCCCTGTTTTAAATGGAGGCCTTAAAGCGCGGGGGTCAAGAGCACAGCCTGGCATTGTGTTTGACCTTGGCCCTGCCGCTCACTGGCTCGTTGACCTTAGCTCATCAGCTAAGGTCTGTCAGTCACAGTGTCCCCATGGACACCGTGGGAGCAGAAAAGTGGCCGCGTCCTGGGAGCGTGCTGTCTGTCAGCAAGGTGACCCACGGAAAGCGTCAGCACCCTCCCTGGCGCACGGGCGCCACGGGGCAGCTTGTCGGTAACTGATCACCATCGAAGCCCGAGGCCAGGGTGTGTTCTCAGAGATCACCATCGAAGCCCGAGGCCAGGGTGTGTTCTCGGAGATCACCTTTGAAGCCAAGGGCCAGGGTGTGTTCTCAGAGATCACCATCGAAGCCCTGGGCCAGGGCTGTGTTCTCGGAGATCACCATCGAAGCCATGGGCCAGGGCTGTGTTCTCGGAGATCACCATCGAAGCCGAGGGCCAGGGTGTGTTCTCGGAGATCACCATCGAAGGCGTGGGCCAGGGCTGTGTTCTCGGAGGAGATGCACAGCCCGGGGCGAACCACACAGGGTGAACTTTTGCCCACACATGGCCGTGGCTAGAAGGTGAGTGGACATCACCTTGGCAATTCCATAACTGTGGCTAGCTGACGGGGAAGTGGACCCGTCCCTGTTAGAATGACTGTCAAAATAATCTTTAAACGGAAGAAAAAAAAAATCATACCAGCTTTGCCTACAGGGAAGAAGCCAGAGGCTGTGTGAATGATCGCTGACTAGAGCAGAAGACCTTCCCTGTGGGGAAGGTAACCTGGGCCCTCCTTGAGCAACATTGGAGACAGACGGCCGGTTCAGTCGAGAAGGAGGTGTTGGTGTAGAAACCAATTCCTTGAGTAAAACACTACTGCACCAGGCTGCGTTACGTGGATGGGGTCAGGTGGCCTTAATAGACGGCGTTCCTGAACAGTTATGGGGCTGGAGGATGTTGACTTCATCGCGGGTAATGGGAAGGACATGGAGACGTTTATATTTTGCATATTGGCAGGGGCGAGCCTGGAGCAAGGGGCCAGCCAGGGCGGGGGAGCCCCATTAAACCAAACTCTCCCCCTATCGACAAGCCCCTCCCTTGGCCGCTCCCACTCCAGCATCCTTGCCTGGAGACCCCCATGGACAGAGGAGCCTGACAGGCTACAGTCCATGGGATCGCAAGAGTCGGACATGACTGAGTGACTAGACCACCACCACCAGCCCACCCCAGTTCCTTTAGCAGCGGGGTCTTGGAGAGCTGTCACAGGTGTATGTCTGCTGAGCTGGGCGAGAAAACTATGAAGGGTGTGCCTCACAAGTGTTACCTCGTGTCTTCTTCACTGCAGTTTGCTCACGTCTGAGAGTGAGAAAACTGAGTAAGTCTCCTCAGACGTGTGAATGCACTCAGCTGGGCCAAGACTGAGAACTGATGCTCGGCTGCAAAGCTCAGTGAAGCTGCCTCGAGGTTTGACAGCTGTTCTTCCAGAGACTGTGGAAGCACCAGCCCCCCTGGGTCCCTCCCCCACGCCCAGGGTCCTCTAAGGGATCAGTTCAGTTCACTCGCTCAGTCGTGTCCAATTCTTTGCGACCCCATGAACTGCAGCATGCCAGGCCTCCCTGTCCTTCACCATCTCCCAGAGCTTGCTCAAACCCATGTCCACTAAGTCAGTGATGCCATCCAACCATCTCATCCTCTGTCATCCCTTTCTCCTCCTGCCTTCAATCTTTCCCAGCATTAGGGNAGATGGACCTTTGTTGGCAAAGTAATGTCTCTGCTTTTTAATATGCTGTCTAGGTTGGTCATAACTTTCCTTCCAAGGAGTAAGTGTCTTTTAATTTCATGGCTGCAGTCACCATCTGCAGTGATTTTGGAGCCCAGAAAAATAAAGTCAGCCACTGTTTGCACTGTTTCCCATCTATTTGCCATGAAGTGATGGGACCAGATGCCATGATCTTAAGTTTTCTGAATGTTGAGCTTTAAGCCAACTTTTTCACTCTCTTTCACTTTCATTAAGAGGCTCTTTAGTTCTTCAAGACCATAATGAAGAAGAGGAAATTCTTAATAAAAGGCAAAAAACGAAGTGTAAATACTTATGGGGAAAAGAAATTAGAAATATCGGAAATGAATAATAGATTCACTGAAATAGAGATTAAAAAAGAGGGAGAAACAGATGAGACCACAAGTCAGTTGAAAGGAGAATGAGTAACTCAGAGGCTGTGACTGAAGAATTACACCTAGCACAGAGCACAAATATGTAAAGATAAAAAAAGATTAAAACTGATTACCTGCAACCAGTCGGGTAAGAGAAATGTAAGGCAGATTGAGAAGCCCTGCAACACGGAGCATTGGGGTTCTGGAAGAGAAAAACAGGAGTCGTGGCTGGAACTTTCCAACATGGATGGAGATGTGAACCATCCCGGTGAAGGTGCACGCTGAGTCCTGAGCAGAATAAACCAACATGAGCGCAGGCCCAGCCTCATTAGAACCTCCAAGATAAAGAAAAAAGCCACCACGCAGCCAGAAAGAAAAGAGATTCCCGGTGCAGAAGCAGCTCTGTCTGACGGCAGACTTGTCATCATTGCTAACGGGCACAGCTGGGCAGAGACACAGGGACCCTGCAGTCTCAGCCTCATCAGATGGTTTACGTGGGCATGTCTCAGCCAGGTCAGTTCTGAAGTCTGCCTCCCACACGCTTTCACTGGAGAGAAATGAAAAGATCTTCACCGGCAAGAGAGAGGGGGTCAGCCGTCAGGAGCTGTGAAAGCCTTGGGCTCTACAGTTGCCAAGCTCACAAGGCACCTGCCACCGCTGCTTTAAACTTGCTGCCTCTTGTTAGCGTGAACTCGGTTTGCAATGCAACGGTCTGGGTTTTCCTCCATGGTTTAACACCTGTATTTACGGTAATAGAAACCCTGTATTTTGTAGTGTCTTATATTCTGGCTGTTGTCACGTTGACTGTTGTTCTTGGACTCCTGAAATCAGTACCTCCTCCCGTGTCTGTCGTGGAAGAGATTTCATGCTTACTCCTGGCATCCCCTGCCTCTTAACTAGTTCCCCTAAATTTCCATGTTCCTTAAAAGTGGCAAAAGGGTACCATCCAAAGGAAAAGCACTGTGTAACCAGCCACCTCCCTTCATCTCGCATTGTTATCTTAACCTGCAGATTGTTTAAAATCACAGCATCTCAGCTCTGAAAAAAACAAGATTTTTTCAGGAGCAGTGGTACTTTGTCAGGAGCACCTGGATGGTAGCTTTATTATGTTCGTTTGAAATGTGTGTTCTGAACCAATGCTTTTGTTTGACAGCTTTATTGATATTACAAGTTGAGATCATTTATTTTTGAGTACTTGGTTCTTCAGAGGTTTTTCTGTTTAAAAAGTTTTATACTTTTTCTAATCAGTGGTTCATCAGGGGGTTTATAGTGATATCAGGCTTAGTGTAAATCAATTTATAAACTTCTAACAAATTTATAGCTTTAGTAGATATTTCCTTAGTTGTATAGATTTCATAGATATATAATGAAGCATTTAAGGGGACATTTTTTATTGTGGCAGTAACTTACAGACCTCCATCATGACTATCTATGCATATGTGTGTATATATATGAGTAATATATAGATATATATTTGTGATGTACGTGTTTAAGCTGTGTAAACAAATTTGGTAATTTCTAAAAATACCTAATTTTAAATATGTATCCAATATTATGAACTAGTTAGTGACCCCTGATAAACTGGGAAAAGAGTGGGATAAAATGGAGGAATGACTCCATTTGTGTCTATCACATCCTTAGAAGCATAATTTGAAAAATAACTCCCTATATAATTAACAATTAGAAATATTCCCTTAATAATTAGAAATACTAACAAATAATGACATTACTAATTGAAATATCAATTCTGACAGGCCCTTACTTATTTCTCTATTAAAATGGCTTCCTCAAACTATCACAGGAAGTTAATGAATTGCTTGTTAATTAAATGTGAACTTTTCTCCTCTAGTTTTCAAATGGAAAAAAACCTGATGTATGATGTATTCAAATTGCTTTATACTAAATTGAACATTAATGGCAATATAAATAAAATATATGGTAATGTTACAACACATGAATGTGATAAGGATCTGCAATATTCCTAATGGAATTTGCTAATTTCGGATATTGACTTATCTTTTAAGTTCGTTTTGTTCCTGAACATTCAAGTGCTGAAGCAATGTCTTGCCAGCATTTTCTAACTAGCCCAAGTGAAACCTGCCCTGAAAACACTCAAACATTGACATCCAACTTACAAATCAGTCTGTCTTTTGTTCTCTCGTTTCATTAGCCTCTCAGCAAATACCCTGCTGTGATCAACGACATCTCCTTCTGGCTACCTCGCGAGAATTACACGGAGAATGATTTCTATGACTTAGTCCGAACAATTGGAGGAGACCTGGTGGAAAAAGTTGATCTTATAGACAAGTTTGAGCATCCAAAGTAAGTAAAAAAAAAATGAAAACCCTCTCTGGCTCATCCATTTTTGTTTCTCTCTGGCAAATGGCATGTGGGAGTATGTGATGGAGTTTTGCTGCAATGTAGTGTGTAAGAGACAAGTGTGATCTGAATTCACAGTGAACCTTCCGCATGTCAGAAAGCTCTTCTGCATCAGTACTTTCTGAAGATCTTTCTAAGATGTGCTTTTCCTCTTCCCTGCCTTAGTAAACAAAGGATATGAAACAGAAGGGTTTTAAGATCTTGGAGTTTTCTGGTGTTGTTTTGGGAAGCCATTTCTTATTCTCTCACATTCCGGGCACCGAGGAAATGAAGCTGAAAGAGCAGTTTGTGGCGGGAAAGCTGTTTTGTTCGTCTCTCTGAAGGTTTCTTAAGCACGTACCACACACCAAGACCCGTGCCACGCCTGGGAGCTCAGCGCACATCTAGAAGTCTGCTCCAGGACTGGGGGAGGCAGTGCCCTGAGCCCCTGCCTGCTCGGTGCTGTGTCTCCGCGTATGCGGTACTTCACTGGCGGCCTGGTTGGACAGAAGGGCCTTGGCTTCACCCATTTTTGCGGGAAGCAGGGTCTCATAAATGTTGCTCAGTGGTCTTCTCAAGTTGAAGTCGATATAAGGAAATCCGAGGCCAGGCTTGACCTTTCTTCCTTTTCTTCCTAAAGAATTCTTTGTCTTTAAAGCTTCATAACCGCGTCAGGATCCCTCTCGGGTGTGAGCTGCTCTCGCTACTCTGTGAACCCTTGTCTCTCTCTGATCAAGGTGTGCTGCCTCCTGGGTCTCAGGAAAGTTTTCTTGAATCATATCAACAAGGATCTCTCCTGACCCCTCACTCGGGGATCCACGCGTGCTCTCCAGCCCTCCTGTGTCGCTGCCTCAGTCTACTGTTTCTCCCTCTGATGTTTGAAAAAATCTCTCTCTCCACTTGGTCTTGGGTGCTCCCCCCACCGTTACCTTCTCCCCCACCCCCGTCTTCCGTGGTCTCTTCTTGCCCACATTCTGATTCAATTATTCTGTCCCGCACCCTCCTTTTCTGAGTTCTTCAAGCTCATATTTCAGTTCTCCCTGTTTTCTTCCTGTCTCTTCCCAGAGTCATTTTTGCTTTGTGATTTTTCCTTCTTTGATAAATTGCTTCATTTGGTTTTTAAAATTCACTGCAAAATACTTGGCCAGAAATTTCATGCGACCCAACGGCAACATTTTTCTCTGATTCCCGTCAGTAAGTTTTTCTGCCGTTTCCCTATTTTTTCCTTCCCTGTATTTTAGTTAGTGCATCAGCAATGTGCGTGTGATTGCTCTTAGTCCCTCATATTTGAATGAGTTGGATTTTCGGGACCAGCTCTTTGCACGAGGTTGAGGGCTGAGCCGGGGGCTCCTTTGGCATCTTGTGAGTGACACGCCTCCCCAGTCCCGATTGTTGCAAGTCAGCACCCTTTGGTGGAAACCTTCAGCTTCTGTGCAAACAACTCTGGGCTGTTAGGCTGCTTTGTTGTCAGGACAGAGCCCCTCATGGTGACTCCCTCCTCAGGACAAAGGGATTTATTTAGGGTACGCCTGAGTCAGGGCTGAAGGCTGCTCAGACCAAAGCAGGTCTGAGGCCAGAGACCCTCTGCATCTCAGCGCTTCCCTCAGTTAAGCACACATTCGCGTCTCCGCCCCTCGCTGCCCCAGCCCAAGGCTTTCCCAGCCCGTCCTCTCTTTGATACCAGCACCAGTGCTGGGGGAGGCAGGCCCACTGAGCAACCCGTCACCCCCCGTGCTGGGCGGAGCCCTGCACACCAGGCTGCTTCCTGGGGTCTGCGCAGGCTGTGGATGAGCTGCCGTTGGTTCCAGAACCTATAGTTGGTCTAGTCGGGGGGCCGCTGCAAACCGCCCACCCCCCACTTCCAGGCAGGAGCATCGTCAGCAGAGGGGCTCACTGCGCAGTTTCGGAAACCGGCACGGGGCCCTCCCGTCCTCCTCGCAGTCCTCCCCTCCTCCTCCTGTCCCCTCCCCTCCTTCTCCTCCCGTCCTCCCCTCCTCCTCCCAGTCGTCCTGTCCTCCTCCCGTCCTCCTCCCGTCCTCCTCCTCCCAGTCCTCCTCCCGTCCTCCTCCCAGTCCTCCCCTCCTCCTCTCAGTCCTCCCCTCCTCCTCCCAGTCCTCCCCTCCTCCTCCCCGCCTCCTCCCAGTCCTCCCCTCCCCTCCTCCTCCCGTCTTCCTCCCCGGCCTCCCAGCCCCCTCCACCTGCAGGACTTCCTGCTTGCCCCTGGCCGCTGGCTCGGGCGCATTCTAGCCTTCAGCTGCCGGCCCCCTGATTGATGCAGGCTCCGCGGGGGCCCAGGGCCCTGGGCCTCCCTCCACCCGCCCTCAGTGTTCTCAGGGGTGGAAGGAGGCTTGCTGCCTCATGGCTGGTGGGTGCCTACCCACCCTCCCTCCCTCCCTAGAGGAGCTTTTATTCCATGGCCGGAGGTGGTTTATGGCATTGGAAGGCGAGGCTGTGTGGTCTGGTGCAAAGAGCTGGGAGTTGGGCGCCCTGATTCCCACGTCTCTGCATTCTAATACCTGGTCCCGGGCCGCTGGGCCACAGTCTCCTTCCTCTGCCCACTTGGGAGCTCGGATACCGTCTTTCAGTGGTTGCTGCAAACACAAGATGAGCCCGTCTGTGTGACATGCTTTGAAAATCTCCGCGTTCTAAAATAATCGCTAGGTGGTCGAGTATCAACCAGTAACTTCCATAGTCAACCCATCTTGTTCCTGTAAGACAGAGGATGGCCTCAGTACAGTGAGTCCACTCGGGTTTGGTGATCGGTCTAGATGATGAAGCTGTGATTCTAGAGAGAAGAGAATGAGGCTTCAGCGTGTCATTCTGAAATGGTGCCTGGTCTTCCCGCAACTTGAGGAGTAAATTTTTAATCAGAAACAAACAAACAAAAAAAAACAAATACTTCATCCAGCAGCGTGGATGCTGGCAGGCAGGGTTCCGTCATTCACAGGACTGGTCTCTGGGCTGTATGCCGAGGCGATGCTGCGGGCAGTGGCAGCAGGTGGCTGACATCTCTGGTCTCATTTCTAGAGACAGAGCTGAGTAAGCGCAGTTACCAGAACTTAAACATGGGCTCGCAGTGAGAAGCCCGCTTCAGCTAATTTTGGGAGAGCGCGTCAGAAGACATGTCCTCTTGAAATAGTCTGCGCGCAGTGCCAAGGAGATGGCCTTAGAACTCCACTGGCTGCTCGCCCTTCCCTCATTTTTATTGCAAGCCTGGTGGCATGAGTGTAAGAATGTCTATTGATGTGGCTCGGGCAGCCCGGAAAGCAGTTCTAAGAAAACTATTTTTAGCCTGGTATTTCTTTTCCCGATCCCATGCCTCCGCTCCGTCCCCACACCTTCTTTCTGAAGCAGCGTGGGAGAGGTGTGTTCTCTGGCCATCACAGGGCAGCCCTGCTGGCCCCCAGCGGGACACTACAGTTCACAACTACTTCAGCCCCCGCACCCCTCCCCTTCCGCCGCGTCCCCCAGGACCTCACCGCTGGCAGGAGGATTCTTGGGGCTCACCTGCAGGCTGACCTGACCCCAGAGGAGCAGCCGTGCATAGAGCAGGGAGGGACCCGAGTGCCTGCTGGACGCCGGCAGGCGGGGCCAGCCCATCCCCAGCTGCCTGCCACGTCACCCCGCACCTCTGTGGGCACTAGCCAGGAAACCCCTCTCTCCTCTGGACTCGCAGTTGGCACTTTTCAGGGAGTTCTCCAGCAGTGTCTGTGCTCAGCACCTTGTGCACCTTTTTGTAAGTGTGGAGAGCGAACACCTTCTTTCCAAGACTCAGGCAAGGGTGCCTCACACCCCTTCGTGGTGCCCGGTCCCACCCCCACAGTAGCGATCAGAGGGACGCCAGGTAAGACATGCACCCAGGGCAGCGTGTGTGGGGACAGGAGGTCTCTGTCGTGCTCGCAGGGGTGGAATGAGGAGCAGAACTCCCCTCTCATCATGGGGGGCAGTTAAGAGAAAGCCTTTTTAACATTTAGGTCTTTAAAGTTATCTCAGTTCACAAGGTCACTTCTTTCCACTGTTCAGTTCAGTCTTTGCGACCCCATGGACTGTAGCACGCCAGGCCTCCCTGTCCATCACCAACTCCCAGAGTTTACTCAAACTCATGTCTGTTGAGTCGGTGATGCCATCCAACCATCTCATCCTCTGTCGTCCCCTTCTTCTCCTGCCCTCAATCTTTCCCAGCATCAGGGTCTTTTCAGATGAGTCAGTTCTTTGCATCATGTGGCCAAAGTATTGGAGTTTTAGCTTCAGCATCAGTCCTTCCAATGAACACCCAGGACTGATCTCCTCCAGGATGGACTGGTTGGATCTCCTTGCAGTCCAAGGGACTCTCAAGAGTCTTCTCTAACACCACAGTTCAAAAGCATCAATTCTTCGACGCTCAGCTTTCTTTATAATCCAGCTCTCACATACACACATGACTACTGGAAAACCGTAGCCTTGACTTTCTAATGGCTGCCACCCAGGAAAATGCCCAGGGGCCGCCGTGGGAGTCGGCCCTCCCCCGCCCTCCCACCACCAGTCCCCCTGTCTGTCACCTCACTTTTCACACCCCATGGAGACTCGGGCCCTTTGTGCTGTGGTCCTCAGAGTTGGTGATGTTGTCCTGGCGACCACGAGGCGCATGAATCCAAATGCAGCCTCAGAATTGTACGGAGCATCACCACGCCCTTATCCTCACTAGAGAGTTGGGAGCTGAGTCTCTAAGGATGGGTCTGTATTTGTAAGGAAGTCTCCGCGATACACAGGTGAGACCTGTTTGAGTCAGTCGTCAAAGCTTCAGATCTCCGAGCAGCAGAGATGCCCCACCGACCTGGGCCTCACCTGGCTCGCCTCTTGTGTCCCCAGGGCCTCTGGGCCCCAGTTCACCCTGGGCTGGGCCGGGACCTGCCGGCCAGGGCGGTTCCAGGCAGCTGACTCCAGGGTCTCCTGGAGACTTGCTTTCCTCAGCTTGGTCAATCTGA